CGGCCACGCTCAGAGTTCCGCGCAGGGTGGCGAGGACGAGGAACCCACTCCAATCATTCCACGTGTGTCCCTTGCTGCTGCGCGAGAAGCTGTGTGATGGCGGCGGGCGGCTTGTGCACAAATTTGTGTTCGCCTGCCCAGGACCGGCGGCAGCCTGGCGAGTCACACAGATGGATGTAGATAATTATTTCTTCTAGCGGCTATCTTTGTTTTGGATGCAGAATAGTTGCAGAGGGTCACGATACAATGGCGGGTAGGTGGCAAGACGATCCACTCGCCCTATAGCAGGCACCCGCCTTGTTCAAAGTATATCACCAAGTGATATTTCACCCGCTCAATTTACACAGAATTCTTCCCNCCACTCGCCCTATAGCAGGCACCCGCCTTGTTCAAAGTATATCACCAAGTGATATTTCACCCGCTCAATTTACACAGAATTCTTCCCCGTACAACCCGCCCGTTTGAGGGCCCATGACTGTACTGGTAGGAATCGTTGGCCTTGGGTGTAGGGGGGAGAATAAGCCGAACCCCCGTTTGCCATCACACGTAGAGGTTCGCACTCGGGGAGAGAAATACTTCCGAGTCGATAGTATTCCTTTATACCCGTGTGGCATGTGATTTTGACTTACTTGCTTTTGTCCTTTTTGGCATTGTCTTGTATTGAAAAAATGTTCTGACCCCTTGCTGTACCCATCCTGTGTCACCTTCACGCTGAAAGCTGTTCTCACCTGCACACGTCGAGCACCCCTCGCCTACTTTTCTTCAAAGAAAGGCAAAGAAACAGGTTTCTGTGCCCGCAACCTGGCCTAAGCAAGTAGACTACTACGTAAAAAATTCCACCACTCGCGGAGAATATCGAACAAGTACAGGATGGCAACGCAGGGAGGGTCAGGCAATTGTTGCCACCAGTGTCATAAATATGGTAGTAGTTGAACGAACGCAAATGTTCCTTGGAGGGCAACAACATCTTTGGGGGGGAACTCAACCCGAAACGTACATACGCACATACACCGTGCTACGCCCAAACGTGCTTCATTCATATTTGCGTCGTTACCGACGGTCTGTCTGTATGTGTTGAAACAGGTTTGTTCAACGGAGAGGGTCTGCCACTTCAACATGGGGTTGCCTCAAGAGGGAGGAATGGTGAATTCTGATTGGGCCAAACTGAGACCTTTCGGGAGGTTACGCGCGTGTCTCATTTCTCTTCAACATTGATCGCTTGCTGACGAGGGAGTAAAAATTTATTAGACTAAGGATTCGTTCTCCGTGCTTAAGGAGAACCACTCACTGCTGCTACTGCTCTGGTGCTGCTGGTGCTGCTGTTTCGGATGCAAAGTTTCCTTCAAGTCGTCAAGCACTTTACGGTACCTGCTCACCTCCCGTCCTGCCCGGCGGTACCTGCTTACCCCCTATCCGCCGTCCTCTTTGGCAGAGACCGCCCCGCATGGCTAAAAGCCTGTCTTCTGCACTCGGCGTTAAGTGTAGTTAGAAAGCATTGTGCCCCTTTCTTAGTATTATGTCTTGTCCTCGACGAAACACGGCCGAAATTCTTGTGGCGGAGCAACCCGTACACACAAC